AAACACATGTACAGATAGCTTTACTCTATCTCTGTGACACAGTAAAGTAAACACATGTACAGATAGGTTAATTGTACGTTAATAAAGACCCGTAAAAATGCCAATATCAACGAACGCCTTTCGCATGAAAAAGTCGCTGTCTCTGATTAGAGAATTTCACTTCAATAAAGCGTGAATCGTTAGTGTTGTCAAGGAAATCTATGACAAACAAAAACGACTTGTACTGTAGAATATTTAACATGCTTTAAATGTTTCTAAGGAATATGAGAGCTGTCCGTATGTTAGTAACATGACTAATATATAATAGTTTAAAGCTGACTTTAACAGTGGAATAAACTTGTTGTTGTAGGAGATCTCTGTTTACGCTTCTAATACATCCACACTTATTAAAATATGTCACTATTCAAGCTTCTAGATGTGCATTACACATGTGAAATCAAAGATCTGAATTTCATGTTCGAAATTAAAAGGTTGGTTTCATCTTCTTTAGTTAAGTTTGTAGGATAATAAGCCTGTTTTATCTTCTTTAGTTAAGTTTGTAGGATAAAAAGCCTGTTTTATCTTCTTTAGTGCAGTTTGTAGGATAATAAACCTGTTTTATCTCCTTTAGTTAAGTTTGTAGGATAATAAGCCTGTTTTATCTTTTTTAGTTAAGTTTGTAGGATAATAAGCCTGTTTTATCTTCTTTAGTGAAGTTTGTAGGATAATAGGCCTGTTTTATCTTCTTTAGTGAGGTTTGTAGAAAGATATGTCTGTTTTATCTTCTTTAGTTAAGTTTGTAGGATAATAAGCCTGTTTTATCTTCTTTAGTGAAGTTTGTAGGATAATAGGCCTGTTTTATCTTCTTTAGTGAGATTTGTAGAAAGATATGTCTGTTTTATCTTCTTTAGTGAGATTTGTAGAAAGATATGTCTGTTTTATCTTCTTTAGTGAGGATAGTAGAAAGATATGCCTGTTTTATCTTCTTTAGTAAGGATAGTAGAAAGATATGCCTGTTTTATCTTCTTTAGTAAGGATAGTAGAAAGATAGGCCTGTTTTATCTTCTTTAGTAAGGATAGAAGAAAGATGGGCTTGTTTTATCTTCTGTAGTAAGGATAGAAGAAAGATAGGCCTGTTTTTTCTTGTTTGGTAAGGATAGAAGAAAGATAGGCCTGATTTATCTTCTTTAGTAAGGATAGAAGAAAGATAGGCCTGTTTTTTCTTGTTTGGTAAGGATAGAAGAAAGATAGGCCTGATTTATCTTCTTTAGTAAGGATAGTGGAAAGATAGGCCTGTTTTATCTTCTTTAAGTAAGGATAGAAGAAAGATAGGCCTGTTTTATCTTCTTTAGTAAGGATAGTGGAAAGATAGGCCTGTTTTATCTTCTTTAATAAGGATAGTGGAAAGATAGGCCTGTTTTATCTTCTTTAGTAAGGATAGTGGAAAGATAGGCCTGTTTTATCTTCTTTAATAAGGATAGTGGAAAGATAGGCCTGTTTTATCTTCTTTAGTAAGGATAGTGGAAAGATAGGCCTGTTTTATAACCAGTTTAAAGGACCTTTCTTCAACAAGATGTTGAACGAAGGCTTGGCTGTAGACAATAGGATTGTTTTATAGTCGCTGTTCACTTGATATATCTTCAAGTGGTATTTTAGACTTGGGCTAATTTCCTTGATATTTCTAATATTTCATATTCCACTTTCTTGTATGTATAGTATAAGTCTACTAACTAGGCTAGGCCTGTTTACTTAGATTAACGGCAAGCACGCACTCATTCAGGATATACTAAGCATTTACACAAATTGAAACGAGACAAACATTTATTACCAACCCGAAAACCCTTCACACGCCATCTAAAAAACATATAATTCTATAGAAAGAAGATATCACAACACAAAAAACTATCGTATAACTGTTTAGAAATACATAAGGTAAACACCAAAATTTATATAGAAAATTATACATTAAGTATATACATAAACAATAAGTTTGGAAACTTTAATAGACTGCAACTGCCTGTTTAAAAAAAAATAAAAAAAGAGGAGACAAAGTTTCGGCTTCTATACTAGGGTCATTTTCAGGTCCTTTTTCTTTCAACGGGCAGTTGCAGTTCACTGAAGTTCTCAAATCTACTGTGTCTACTCTGTAACACCATGTGCATAAACAGATTACTTACTATAAACAGATCACTTACTATAAACAGATTACTTACTATAAACATATCACTTACTATAAACAGATTACTTACTATAAACATATCACTTACTATAAACAGATCACTTACTATAAACATATCACTTACTATAAACAGATTACTTACTATAAACATATTACTTACTATAAACATATCACTTACTATAAACAGATTACTTACTATAAACAGATCACTTACTATAAACAGATTACTTACTATAAACGGATCACTTACTATAAACAGATTACTTACTATAAACAGATTACTTACGATAAACAGATCACTTACTATAAACAGATCACTTACTATAAACAGATTACTTACTATAAACAGATCACTTACTATAAACAGATTACTTACTATCTACTCACAAAGCACTTGCTATGACAGAACACATTTGGGGGAAGATACATGACTACGATACACTAAGCACAATATAGATAATGGAGCATGTAAATTGGATATCATACCGTCCACACGCTGCTCGTCATCATCGTCATCTTCCTGCTCTAGCTCCGAGTCCGTGTGGATAGCGGGGAACCAGGGTAGATGGGAGCAAGTCGTTCCCCTAAACTTAGCGGGATCTAAGATATCGTCCACGGAGAAGGGTGTCATTGTGTGAGGGTTACGAGGCTGCGGCCTAGTTCGCTTTGCCTCGGCCAGTTCTTGAGCCGATGGACTCCGAGTGGTGTCCGCTTTATGTGCGGGAGGACTAGCACTATCTGAGTTTGTTCCTTTCTGCGAACCAAAACTCAGTGTTAGGTCCATACTATCTGAAAGGGGCACTCTTTGATCTGACTGCAGCGTTCGTCCAGTTGTCTGGCCAAAACCAGCTCGTGCGTGAGGACCCGCTAACGTCATGTGGTCAGCGTCTTGACCCGTCTGCATCTGACTCTAAGCTGTGAGTATGAGGCACCCACGTGCCCTGACGATCGCCTAGTGAAGCTTGAAGACTTGTCTGCAGACAACACAGAATCTCGCTGATTGGCTGCTCGTTGATATTGCATGCGTCATGACGTCACTAAGTTGTTGTCGGAGGCGGGAAGTCGCCCGCACGCTTCCACAACTGTGCTTCGATCATAGTAATTGGTCGACAAATTAATTGACGACTGAAACGATACGCGTCACTATTGTTAATTTGAGCGATTAACGCCTTCCAAACAACTAGTTATCTGTGACTCAGACCAGAAAAGAGGATAGTTTCTAAGCCTATAAGTTACTTAACAACCGGGCTAGAATGCATTTGGACTTTTAGAATGTTCAGATTTCTATTTGAAATAAACAAATGAAACAAATACTGTTGTTATTATTATTATTTTCTTCGTATGCTTGCTTTGAGTACAAACGTTACCTCAATTATCGTAAACCGACCATTAAAAGCAAAGAGAGAATCTTTTACACAAAATACAACAACTTATCCCATTTTACACTGGTATATCTAACTCCTGGTATATTACTTTTACACTGCTATATCTATATCCTGGTAGATTACCGGTTATTGTTCTCGAACTTCTGGTTGTGCAACATTTAAAGTGATGTCACAGCACAATGGTCATTGAAACCCAATCTCTAACAGTGAGAGTTCAATGTAATCTGATTGTAACAACATATTATTCATTGAAACCTAATTTCTAACAGAGCACAGTTCAAAGTAATCTGATTGTAACAACATACTGTTAACTGAAACCTAATCTCTAACAGTTCACGCCCCCCAGTGGCACAGCGGTATGTCTGCGGACTTACAACACTAGAATCCGGGTTTCGATACCCGTGGTGGGCAGAGCACAGATAGCCTATTGTGTAGCTTTGTGCTTAATTACAAACAAAAATTAACAGTTCACAGTTCCAATTAACAGCAAAATCTACATTGAAACCTAATTTCTAACAGTGCACAGTTGAAAGTAATCTGACTGTAACAACATATTGTTAACTGAAACCTTACTTTCAACAGTTCACAGTTCGAAGTAACAGCATAATCTGTATTGAAACTTATTCTCTAACAGTGCGCAGTTCAAACTAATCATTTGTTTTTAATCTACTCTACATGAGAGCACCATCCAAATACTTGTAACAGCACACTTTCCATTGAAACTTAACCTCTCAGAGAACACTATCCAAAGCAATCTGACTTGTAGTAATATAGTCTTCAATTGAGTCTTTCTTGTTGTAGTAAACAACTCAAATGAATTCATTCTCTGAGAATATCTGAATGAGATATGATAGCGTTACTATTTAGTTACACTTCTATTATGTATAAAAATTATTCAAATATGGTAAAAACAAACTTTGGAGTTCCGATTTTGTTAAAGACCTGAAACGTTTGTACTAGTGATTTGTACTTGAAGACGGCTTCCGTTTGAAGTGTTAAAAGATTTGTAGTATTTGTTTTAAGTGTTATACATTAACGCTCCTCCATGTTAAGATAAAGAGCAGTTTCGAACTGTTTCACGTGGCTTGTAAGTTTTATCTGCCTCTCTGTAAGTTACTAGGTGTACTGTTAGAGATCCTTTTTACTAGTCTCATACGTCGTTTCGAGCTTTTTTCACGGACTAGCCGGCCCGGCATGGCCAGGTGGTTAGGGCACTCGATTCGCAATCTGAGGGTCGCGGGTTCGAATCTTTGTCCCACCAAACATGCTCGCCCTTTCAGCCGTGGGGGCGTCATAATGTGACGATCAATCCCACTATTCGTTGGTAAAAGAGTAGCCCAAGAGTTGGCGGTGGGTAGTGATGACTAACTGCCTTCCCTGTAGTCTTACACTGCTAAATTAGGGACGGCTAACGCAGATAGTCCCCGTGTAGCTTTGCGCGAAATTCAAAACAAACAAGCAAACAAATACGACTAACCCTATTCCTGAAGGCTCCTCGTTAAATTCTGATCAAGAAGTTAGCACACAGAATCACATACAAAAGTTGTAATAGTTTTCAAACGAAGCGCTTTGGAATAGTTCACTATTCTTCTTCAGGAGAACATAGGGTCACTCTTTATTAAACATAACCTTTTATTCTCCTGAAGAGGAATAGTGAACTATTCGAAGGTGTTCGAGTTTTGGGTCTCGTTTGAAAACCATGACTCCTCGTTAAAGTGTCGTATACTCTTCTTATGGTTGTTTTATTTTCATATAATTATTAATGACTTCTTGAGCTATTTCATTAGCATATTTTATGTCAAGTTTTTAATTTACTCTGAGCTCTGTACCTGAAACTTAACTGTTATCGTATATACATATATATAACGTTTTCTCTGTTTGTCGATTTTTACCAGTTGTTTCGAACATCAATAAAATAAGAATTATTTTGCTAGTTTCATACGATTTAACCAAATTCGACTTTATTGGATCTTGTCCTTCTGGCGTTGTGCCATTTTTAAACCGCTGGTACTGATAAAAAAAAAATAAGAAAAAACTGTATTGTTTGTATATTTTTTAAACAAGCCCCGTTCATTCGTTTTATGTTTGCTAAAACTTAAAAGAATTCCACTTTATTCCGACAGCATTTTTCTCTGTTTTTTATCTAGTGGAATTCTGCCCCTTTTTATTGTTAGATTAAATACCGAAAAAAGTATTCAATGGTTAAAATTAAAAACATGAAATCTTATATATATATATATATGTTATTTACTAGCATTTACACTGAATATTACTATCACTTTTGGTAGCAAGCGTCAGTTATCACTAGTTTCCTCTATTGTATGTTAATGTTTCATGTCGGTATCTGTTATTATAGGTTTCTCCTATTGTATATTAGTGTTTCATGTTCATATCTGCTACCATACGCTTCCCCTATAGTATATTAATGTCTCATATTGGTGTCTGCTACCATACGCTTCCCCTATAGTATATTAATGTCTCATATTGGTGTCTGCCACTATATGCTTCCCCTATAGTATATTAATGTCTCATATTGGTGTCTGCCACTATATGCTTCCCCTATAGTATATTAATGTCTCATATTGGTGTCTGCTACTATATGCTTCCCCTATAGTATATTATTGTTTCATGTTGATGTCTGTTACTGGTTGGGTTTCCTGCTATATTGTTGCGTGTATTGTTTCATGTTGATGTCTGTTACTGGTTGGGTTTCCTGTGATATTGTTGCGTGTATTGTTTCATGCGTGTTTAATTTTTCTAGTCTTTCGTTTATTCTTTCAGACACTTGAAAGTTAACGTCACACCTGTTTACCCGTTGACGCTGATTTGACTCACTGAAACGTATCAAACTTTTTTCCGAACCCTGAATATTTCCTGATGGTTTAAATTCATACGTATTCTTTGTGTTCATATTTGGTTTATTATACATTTTAAGGACTCAAGTGTGATATAAAGAAGAGTGTAGAACAATATGTCAAAAACATTACATCTGCCATATCGAAGCTGACGAGACCTTTCGCTCGATACCACTACTCACGAGACCGGCTGTGATGCGACAGAGTTGGAAATGATGTTTTAAGTATGTTTAAACGTTTAGTTTTTCATCACGGGTTGTTCTCTTGAACATTACTTAGTCAATTAGAGGTTATATTATTAGAATGAGCTGAATGTTGTAGTTCTAATGCTATTTGAGGATCTTTGTTTGTTTGAATTTCGCACAAAGCTACTTTAGGACTATCTTCGCTAGCCATCCCTAGTTTAGAAATGATAGAGGGAAGGCAGCTAGCCATCACCACCCACCGCCAACTCTTGGGCAATTCTTTAAAAAATAAAAAGTGTGACTGACCGTCACATTATAATTACCCCACGGCTGAAAGGGCAAGCATGTTCGATGACAGGATTCGAGCCCGCGACCCGCAGGTTGTGAGTCTAGTGCCCTAACCATAAGATCATACCAGGCGTTAGAGGTTTTCACTTAAATAGTTATTATACACCTTTTCTAACGTTTTGATTATTAAATATTATTATTTTAATTTAACGTTTTTGCAAATTAGAATATGTATTTAGTTCTAATATTTTAGTTGTATATTATTCTATGTATCTACTATATTCACGGATATTTCTATTCTTTTATTGTACTTCGCTTTAATATTACTTATTTAATTATTTTTAATATGATATATATATATATTGTTTTTTGGAGAACACGAAGTAATATTTTTCATTCAGAATAATTTAATGTTTTTTGATAATGGGTTTATTTCTTGTCATATTAATAATGGATTATCAAATGATAAGCTTATTCAACTACAATTTGGTTTTATATTCCGCTTTTTGAGATGTTTTCAAATTTTAAAGTTACATGTATAAAATTGCTTTACTGAGCATCATGGGAAGTGCAGATAGGGGACGTTTCTATATATGTATAAATTTTAATGTTCACTATCCCATACATATTATATATTATAGGATAGTGAATGTATAATGTATGATTGTTAACCTTCAGAAGATTATTTGCTGCTATTCACATTTTTTCTCTGGTCTTAGCGTGATTTTCATCATCACATAATTCTTATATCTAGGGCCAGTGACTCTTGGATTCCATATCGAGGGCCAGTGACTCTTGGATTCCATGTCGAGGAACAGTGGCTCTTGGATTCCATATCGAGGGCCAGTGACTCTTGGATTCCATGTCGAGGAACAGTGACTCTTGAATTCCATATCGAGGGCCAGTGACTCTTGGATTCCATGTCGAGGAACAGTGGCTCTTGGATTCCATATCGAGGGTCAGTGACTCTTTCATTTTATATGAAAGGCCAGTGACTCTTACATTCCATACCGAATGACAGTGACTCTTGCATTCTATATGAAGGGCCAGTGACTCTTACATTCTATATGAAGAGCCAGTGACTCTTACATTCAAGTGAACATTGAGGAAAGTGTCCTTTAGATCAGTGTAACTTCTGCTACAAATATACAACATTTTTGTGGAGAGTCATAATGAACAAATAAATACTATTGGATTATTTTC